TCAGCTGCCATCTTTCCAACATCCTCTTCCCAGGTGCTTTATCAGATTTACACATAAATCGGGCTTAGTACTGACTAAGTGCACGTCGCTGTGCACAAAGGCACACTTGTGCGAGTGTAAAACGCTCATTGTTCCTCCCTCGTGTTTGCGTGGGACGGACAAAGTTGGTTTGAGGAATTAAGGTGAAATATCACTTTAGACGAGTGGGCCCATCGAAGGTCACAGCACCTCCCGCTCTGCGGAGGTCAAACGTCCAAGGAGACGGGGCTCCACCCTCCCTCGCTGCGATTTATAGTCACTTATGATATCTGTGCCATCCTGAGCCGGGCATGGCTCTGCAGTCCCAAAGTTCAGGCTTCGTTCTTTGTGGAAAAGTTCTAATGAAACATGGCACAACTGTCTGACGTGTTTCCCCTGGAAAACCCCGACGCCCATAGTGGGTCTGGAAGGATTTACCCTTCTCCCTGCTCCTTGATTGTGCTTCTTATGTGCGCTGCTTCAAATTGGAACAAACTCCAACCACTGGGAAAGGATTTCCTTGAGTTTGCTGTCATGTGTTCAGCCAGTTTGACCAACCCCCCCCCAATCAGAAGTGAGGTCAATAACTGCTTAAGCAGCATCTGTAGGGGGGGTACAGAACACCGCTGGTGTTGCCAAGAGCAGTTTCACCGAGTCTTATCTACTTTGTCAGGTTGTCATGAGCAGAACCAGCCCCTCTCTCTCCGTTAATATAAATGGAAGAATTCACTGGCATGTACACTCAGCTTCTCGCTGGCTTTTTTCAGAAGGCAGATGCGGGACGGCGCCTCCTGATGCTGGTCTGAGGAACAGCCTCAGCGAAGTAATTAACGGATAAAACCTTAGGAGTAAATGGGCCGTGAGCTGCTGAATGGTGAACGTGCGTAGATTCCCCGCACTTCGCAGCGAAGACACCTGTATGTTTGCAGACAGGCCTGACGTAAGGCACCCTGTGAGAGGCACTGGGGCCCAGTACAGCCAGTCGATTGTGAAAGAGGGTAAAGCTCCACCTCCTGCCACCAGCCCTGCCCCTCCTCTCCCCCTGACCTCATCTCCGTACCTCCTGTCACTGCTAGAGGACACTCAGTGACCTTGGCTGGATACAGAAGACCTTCTATTGCACAACATCTTATAAATCAAAATTGTATAACCTTCTTTGTTCCTGAGCAGGATGTCTATTGGGAAAGCTCTCCAAACTTGCATGGAGTTCATTTTTGCAGTGTATTCTGGGTAGAAATGGAGGTAGGGAGCCGCAGACAGCTCCACCCCAAAAGCAAATGTTTTCCTTCTGTGTTTAAGGGCACACATAATGTAGAGCCTGATTTTCACCATGGGGTATATAGCTGGCATGGCGGCTTCCCAAGCTCATTACTGCTGAAAAGCCCCTTTCATCGCATGGTGTTAATTACAGACAGACTGTCCCATGCTGCTTACCCACACTTCTCTGAGATGCTGCCGGACTGCGTGTGACCCTCCTCCGGGGCTGCTTTCAGCGTCCAATGTGGGCTGTTGCGTCATGTCAAAACTTCCTGCCTCTTAGGATGGTCGGTCTTGGCTGCCATCCAGTGCCTGGTCCATGGCAGAATTGCCCAAGGATGTCCAATATTAATCTGTGGGTGCTGTGTACCCCTAGGTCCGCTGCCGTTAGCTCTTGTAGTGCTGGGCCTGTGTGCAGGGACTCCGTAAAGGGGGGGTGGGCTGGTTACGACAATTCCAAGGAGCCCTAAGCGTCAGGAGCCATAAAAGATTTGGATCATAATTTTGATTGGTCTGGGTTGGTGTCCCAATCCGACATGATTTTTTATGGGGCCCATCATCTTTAGTGGCGTCCCTGCCTGCAGTGTTTGGACCCCACGCGTCGTTGCACATGCTTCATTTAGTGGGGGCCCCGTGGGGTATGCCAAGCCCCTGCACTCATCTGTGAGAGGCCCCATGGTGCTACATACCTACCCTGTGTGTGTGTGTGTGTGTGTGCCCGAATGAGAACAGCTTGTTCTTTATTGTCCGTGTGGTTCTTACGTAAAGAGTAAGTGAGGGTGCCACAAAAAAAAAACCACATTCGTCATATTACTGCAGGTAGAGAGAACCTGGCCAGACATCAGATGAAGGAACTGTTATTATAGTGGAGAACAAACCAGGTCAGCAAAACAACAGCAGCAATTTGGATGTTCACCAAAGTCACATTCCATGAAAAAAGTCCTTACCATCAATCATATCAGATAAGTGTTTGAAAGGATTTGAAAACTCATTTATGAAATGTTTAGTGACTCATTTGTTTGTTCTACCAGAGACACAGTTGCATCATGTTTGATGTGTTGTTTTGTCCACCATTCATTTGAATCACAAAACCATAAAAAGCAGGAGAAGTTTGTGACTTCATTTACCCGGTTTTGCGCATACATAATTTTCAATAGACTTCTGCTTGAACGTGACGATGAAGCGCAACTTGGCCTGGCAGCTGCACACTCCCTGAGATCCAGGTTGGCCTGGTGCACAGGGCAAGTGGGCTGGGCTCTACCGTCATCCAGAGTGACTGAAACGGGCTGAGGTCCTCGGAGCGAGCAGACTGAGCTAATGGCTTCAAGCTGTCGCCTGGGTCTTGTCATTCGTGCGGGTGTCAGCGATACACGAGCGTTTATGTAAAGCAAGTCCCCCCAGACTCCACCCTCTGGCTGTAACATCGCTTTGCCTTGGCGAACGAGGACAGCACCCGTACTCTGCTCCGCTGTCCTTCACGCTCATACTTCACTTTGGCCACCAGGGGGCACTGCTGAGTAGCAGGTCAGTGCCACCCCCACACCATTCCTCCGCAAATTACTGCAGGAAATGCCTGATCCGACACCCTAATCCAGCCCGGCAGACCGCCCGGGGGTTATATGTGTCCTAATGCTTTTCTTATGTGCTTACTGCTGGGCTTTCCATTCACAAGCCTCATTACTGAATACGCAGTCCAGCTTATTAAAGATATTCCAGCATTTTGATGTCGCATAACAGCAAAATGCTGTAAAACACACCTTTTGCTCTTATGTCGTCTACAGCAGACACAGGTATGGACAACTTCTACAGCGAGCATGGTCCAGTGAAATCCCCCGGAGATATATTAATATTCCCCTTGTCAGGGGGACGTTCTTGTTTTAGGCACAGATGGAGATTGTCTACAGAGGTTACACTGACCAGGACCCGCTGGGGCACAGACCTGCATGCAGTTAAAAATGTAAATCATACATGCACACAGTTTACCCCATGTGTTTTGAAGAAGTTGTGCTTGTTTGTGAAACGTCCATATGTCATTGACGCAGGTTTCGATGCCGAAAATGATGATTCCAGCAAAAGCAACTGGCACATTTAGCATGATTAAACATGTCGTTTACTTCCCGGGGGGGGGGGGGGGTGTAACTCTCGGTGAGGTGAGAGTTGGACTTTAGCCAGGAGAGGTCTTCCCTCGTATTATCATGGTTATATGGTTACATTCTGCTGCACCTGGACTCAGTATCTGGCCAAGATGCAAAGTGTCAACTAGCATGATGCAACCTGTGACATCAAGGTCCCGTTCAGTCTCCAGTGAGTCGAATAATACCGTTCAAGTTCAAGCTCAGCCCAAAGGACCAATAGAGGGCATGAATGTGAGCACATGTCAGAAACGAAGCTCATACGTGCCCACTTGTGATCTGCTTTGGCTGGAGAGTGTCTTGCAGTGTGTCTGGAATATGCAGTTGACCTTATTCGGGCAGCTGTCTCCCAGCTCCTACACCACAAGCCTCATCCCCCAGCTCTTACATCACAGGCCTCATCCCCCAGCTCCTACATCACAGACCTGATCCCCCAGCTCCTACATCACAGGCCTGATCCCCCAGCTCAAACATCACAGACCTGATCCCCCAGCTCCTACACCACAGGCCTGATCCCCCAGCTCTTACACCACAGGCCTGATCCCCCGTATCATTGGACAAAATTTCATTCTTCAACAGGATAATGATCCCAAGCCTTCTTCAAAATTGTGCCAAATTATATCCAGTCCAAAGAAAAGCAAAAAGTTCTGGGAATTTTTTTTTTAGCCTCCCCAGTCTCCGGACCATTCTCCCATTGAGCTGACATGGCACAAGCTGGACCAACAAGTTCGGAATGAGCATCCAGCGAATGAGACAGAACTGTTTGCATGCTTGAAAAGGTGCTGGGAGGGTTTGGACACAAGTTATTTCCAAAAATTGCTGGAGAGGATGAAGCGAATCTGTGCTGCTGTGATAAAGGCAGGAGGTGGTTATTTTGATGAAACTCATTCTTAGTCACTCGCATTCATTAAATCACATTGACAATGTAAATTGTTACATTACACTTCAAAACCATTTAGTTACATTTGTTTTAAGTATTTCTAATATTTTCTTGTAACAAAAGTTTGAAAAAGCAGGGTATCATTTATTTATTACTGTGGTCTGTAGTGTATCCCACGTGAGGTCTGCCATTGTGGTCAATCTGTGAGTATAATCCCCCCCCAGGTGCAGGCTGACGTGAAACAACAGATCCAGTCTGTGATCATTCTCTCTCTCTCTCTCTCTCTCTCTCTCTCGGTCAGTTGAGCGTTTTTTTGCTTCCAGGGGGCAAATTACTTTGCTGCAGCATTCCTGGGCACATACTGCAGATTTAATAACCATACAACAATCAAGCAATAAATGCAATGCCACAAAAAATATGGAGAAAAAATGTACAAAATTTTTTTAATCAACAGGATTAAAATGGGAACCAATACCTTCCATTCATAAGTTAATCACAGGATCCCAAAACCCCTGAACATCTCTGTTCACACCAGCTCTACGGAAAGTCGAGGGGCTGCGGCCAAACACAGGCAGGATTAGCCGTCGCCAGGCCACTTGCGTCTGGGGTGGGGGACCGAGATTTGGCCCCCGCCGGTCCTTCTGTGCCACTTTGCGATGGGATTAAACTGTGCTCAACCGAAGGCCGCCATTAGGGAGCGTTCCGGCTAGGCGATGGGGTCTTCGGTGCTCTGGGTTCTGCTGGAGTGTGTCTGCAGGGTGCTCGGCGTTTCCACGGCGGCAGGTAACCTTCCTAACTGCAGGGTATCAGATCAGAGGCTTTTCATTAAGGTTACCGGCACTTTAAACGAGGGTGACCATATTTTGCTGTGCAGAAAGGTGGTAGCCAGGAGCAGGGTGATAAAAGAGGCATCACAGCAACGCAAATATGCTTGAGGAAGTATTCTGACTGTAGAAAGCAAATTTGTACACAAACCTAAGGAAAACCTGGAAATTTCATGCATTTTAGGTCCCAAAAAAGAGGACAAGTCCGTGAAATAGAGCACGTATGGTCACCCTGTTTAAATGCATCTGCCTCCGTAGCTATGCGAAAACCAAGCTGGACATGTACAGTATATGCATGGGAAATTACTGCCTAATTTTTATCATCATCAAATAGAAGTGAGTGCACAGATTTGAATTTTTGTAGTTTGGTGGGATCCTTTTCAATGTAGTCTGTGGAGTAAAGGTTAGGACAAGGTCACAGGGAGGACATTAAGTATTTGTATTTTCCTGATGTATTTATTGCACTCGCTGCTCTGATAGAAGCCCGGTCTCCATGGCGATACCATAAGTCATAACATTACAGAGAGCACTGACACTTTGGGGGGGGGGGGAGGGTGTTCTGCCTCCCCCCTGTCACTGGCCTGGTCCCCAGAGTGCGCGGCCCTCCTCTCCACGCATCCCCCTGCAGACAAACAGACAGTGTGGGAGTCGGATGATTTAAGGCGGCCCTGAGGCTGTGCGTGTCTAATACGTAATCATGTGAGACGCTGTACACTGAATGCCTTTGACTACCTTAACGTATTGAGTTTCACGTAGATCAGAGGCGTATGCGGGACCGGGAGGCTAATAAGAAGCTGTAGCGAGGGTCAGACCAGAAGTGCTGCAAGCTTGCAGAGTCCATGATGAAATCAGCCTTGGGAAATTCGGAAAGGGCAGAGTGCAGTGTGCAGGGCTTCTGGCCCTCTGCCGTTTCCGTGGAAGCTCTTAAAACCCCACTAAGTATGCGCATTGCGTAACCACATTTCTTTTTTCTGTGTGTGCGCCTTACAAATAAACCGATAAACACGTACCACATGTTAGCCCAGTGGTAGGCTTGTTATTCTCACAGCCATGGCAGTCAGTGACAGCCTGGTTTGATGTTTCGGCAAGGTTCCAGCGAATAAAATGCTTCAAAACGCTCCAAACAAACGACTGGCTCTGTGAAGCATGAAAGTGCGTAAAGTGTGTTTCAGTCGTCAGCGTCCTTTGTGGCTGACATTAAATTAGTTTTGTAGGCGTTGAGAAATCTGAAAGTTATATAGTAAAGAAAGTAAATAAATGAACAAGAGTTTGAATACATCTTCACCCAAATACATCCTGGTGTACAAAAAGTTTTACAACAACATAGGAGAGCGTTTGATATTGGGGGACACAAATTAATAATGTAAATTCTTAGGCCTATTACTTTATTGGGTGGGGGGGGGGGTTGGACACATCCCCCCCCCGGGACCTTTGCCCCTGCTTGTAGCCCATCATTCCTGGGCACTGAAAAGAGCCACGCTCACACAGGTGAGTGAACACGCTGACCCCTAGAGGCTGACAGTGTGACTGCGTTTGCCTGTCAGTTTGTACTGTCACATATGAAACTGCAAGTTAAACTGGCAGGATTTAAGGAATAAAAGGCAGTGAAATGTATAGTTGCTGACACATCTTGCTGCCTCATCCATTCCCAGTGCTGTGTGCGGTGGGGATCGAGACCTTGAACCAAGGAAAATTCCAGAACCTGGCTGTGTACCTCCTGTAAGTACCCCGGAACTGCTGCCTCAACAGCAAACAGCACCGGCAACTTTCTGCCCCTCTTCCGAATACTTGACGTCCACTTTAACTACATAACCAATGGGATTTCTCACATAACTAACAGAAGTGAAGCTTTAAAGACCTTTAGGTGTGGAAATGGGGATCCTTTCATGGCCGTGAGCAGGACCATTATCGCTGGCCTTCAAAAATGTGCCTGTCAGCTTCTGTCTTCCCTGGCGCACGACGCACGCTCCCTGCCTGCGGGCAAGCTCAGGATATGAAGCTGAATGAGATCCTGTGTGTAAGAGAAAATAATGAGGGGTTTACAGGCCGATTATGCTGTTTAAAACGACAGGTAGGTGCTCTGTGTTGTGTGAGGGGATTGTTTTAAGGTTTAAAGACTTTTGGTGTGAGCCTTTTTGCTGTGGGGTGTTTCGGAGAGAATGTGGTACAGAGGCAATAATGATAAGGGCCTGGAGCTCGCAGGACAGCAGCCAACCATGCCACCCACCCCCCCCGCCCCCCCCCCCCCGCCCCCCAGCCTGTAAACATTGTTAAAGTGCCAAAGCTCCGACTATCGCTCAGTTTAAATAAATAAACTTTAAGTGCCCTCATTCAGGTGCGCACTGCTTACATATTTAACATGATCAATAACTCACTTAAGTAATGCAGGCTTCTCTTTACCCAATGAGACCTCAAATTAACACTGAGATGCAAAAGCAGGTCACATCAGCAGGCTCATTGCACAAAGGGCCCCTTCTGTGTGGCACTCAGATCAGCCCTGCCTTGTCCCCGCAGAGTATCTTCCGGGGGCGTGTCCGTACTGGAGGTGTCCTACTTCGTTGACAGTCTCCTGGTGACATGCCTGCCGTGAGTATGGAGCGCAGGGGTTGCTGGGGAGTGAGCCTGGTCTGGGGCAGCATAGGCTTATTTTAATACCCTCATTTATGCTGTTTGACATTTTATTGATGTTATTTTTTGAGTTTTTGTTGTGTTATCAGCTTGAATGTTATTATTTGACGAAGTTCAAGGTTTTCTCCTGCAGAGGGCGCCAAATCACAACATTTTTTAATCGCTCGCGCGTGGAGCGGTGAACGCTCATCTTCCGCTGTGCTGTCCTTCTAGCTGCCCTCCGAAGTGGATTATCTTTGTTTTGTGGAAGAAGCTGTCAAATCTTGGAGGCTTCCAGAAGTTCCTCTATTACACCATAATGGCGGTGGTGTGTTTTTTGCACCCAGTGCTTGCGTGGCATGCAGTCATCCCAGGTATGATCCCTCACACTCCATGGAGCCAAAGTGCTTTTACAAACAGAGCTTCCATAGGCGTATTGGCAACGCCTGTCCAGCGAACATGCCAACTAGGTGAAATGTCCCAGCAGCCTTTGCATGTGTCATTCCAGGGACCATGTTGCTGGTTACCGGCGTGGCCTACTTCATCCTGAGCAAAAACAAATCATCAGCAAAGGCAGGCAGCAACCCCGAGACCTGTGCCCCAGACACCAGGGCTATGGGGCCTTCCTACTCCATACTCCATCTGGCAGGAGGCAGAAGGCCCATGGTATCGCCGTATTGGGAGCGGGGGGGCAAAGACGGCTCACAGGCCGAGGCGGGAGTCACCGGAAGGGCATTGGGACGGGGATCCAGCGGAGTGCTTGCCCACCAGTGCTTCAGAGAGAGCAAGACCGGTGACACGCAGGAGGATATAGAGATGCAGGAGTATGAGACCTCGGACAAGGCCCCCATGGTCAGAATGTGACAGGGATACTGGTCAGTGCCGTAAGCCTGAAACGCTCAGCCTGGGGAAGGCGTCTCCCAGCCACTACACGTGAGAGACCTTCTGTGGAAAGAGAGTTCCTGTAAGATGACCCCTGCAGGGCAAACGCTGAGTAAGACCTGTCAGCCATCCAAGGATTGCTGAGAGCACCATGATATTCATTAAGTAAATTGTCACCTTTTCAGGTTCTGGCTGACAGATCACAATCTGCCCTTAAGCAACACAGAAATTAACTCTTGTTCTGTATATAGGAATGAATAGCACAAATGTTTAATGAAATAATTAAGCTTTGAAGGTAATAAATCCATGTAAACATCATGTGCAAGAGCCTTTTGATGGAGGAGACAGCATCACGCCACATGGTGGAGGACTGGGGAAGCGTGGCTCAGTCTGGTGTGTAGGCGTCACATGTCACATGGGAGGGGTCACGGGAGAGGGGCTGGTAAAGAGGAGGCTGCCAGTGAGCTGCCAGCACAGCCTTCCCATCAGCCTCTCCTCAGCCAGAAGAAAAGACAGCTAATGCTGCGCTCCATGCGAACTCGTAACTCAGAAATTCCAAGTTCCTAGTCGGAAATTTGAAGTGGAACACGCCTGAAGTCGGAATTTCCGACTCATGAACTGGGAGGAATTTACACAACTCCGAGCTCAGAATTCAAGATGGCTGCGCCCTTTACCAACAGAAGTTAAAACTATAGTTCTATACTGTTTATTAGTACTTACATCATGTAATGTGTTGTTATCAACTGATATTGCTAACAGTGGCTAACAATTAACTGGGCTAGAACAAGCAGGATTTCTTGCTTAGCCGGATAATTTGTCAGATTTAAGGTAGTCTGGGCTAAATGTAAGTGAATGAAGAAAAGGTCCATGAAAACTGAAGTAAAGTAACCTAAGCAAAAAATCTTACTTTTTTGAAACAGGTCCTTGCTGTACTGGAACGCAGTTAGCTTGTTTGTGATGTCATTGCCAGTTATGAGTGCCGACCTCCGAGGTAAATGGAACACAGTGTTAGGTACAGAGCCCACGAGAGGGGTTAAGCAGCCATGTTCATCATGTCTGAGTGCCACTATGGTTTTTGTTGTTATTGTTGTTCTTTGCTGCTGCAGCAGCCCTGTACTGCATAAGTGATGATGGATGGATGGATGGATGGATGGATGGATGCTGCCTGTACCACTATCATGACTCTAGTTCTGTGATTAGCTACTGCTGTGCTGAAGCTGTTGAGAGTGATGGACACCTGTTTCCTCTGGCCGGTTGCCTAGCTACGGGCACCAGCATGGCACAGCAGACAGGTCCGAGGGGACAAGGCGGGGGCCTCCCAAGGCGAGGCACGTGCTGCATGGCCAGAGCGCCCATTGCGTGTGCTGGCCCCAAGCTACAGCTGAGGAGGGGCCCCCAGCACAGGGGCATGAGCATGGCATCAGTGTGCCACCAGCAGCCTGCACTGAGTGCCGTCCTGCGCACGTGCATCGGCTCATACGTGCCCAACAGGATGCTCCGCTTTCCGCCGGCAGCAGTAATGCCATAATTACATCCTCTGAGGCTGATGCAGTGTTTTCCGGCAAGGTATTGTCCCAGTTTCCTCAGATAACATGAGCCCAGCTTTTGGAGGTTATTTGTTTACCCAGATGTCATGCCCACAGTCTTCGGGGACTAGGTGGGACATGTGAAAAACAAGCCAGAGCTTGTCTGTCCTACATTATATGTCTACATGTGCTTAGACCTAATGCACTTCAGTAATTCATTTATGATGTAAAGCTTTTCATAATTAGTTGTATTATCAGCATAGAGTCAGCTTTATTTCCAATTAGCAGGTTACATATCACTTTATTTCATTAGAGAGCACATTATACTTGACGATTTAAAAAATGAAACATACAAACATCTCAGTTGCCATAGCACCGTCTGCAGAGAAACCTTCCACACCTTGGAGAAGTCTCGGAAAAGACTGGCCGCCCCCCTTGGCCTCGATTGGCTTATTTTCAAGCCAAGAAAGATTCTGATAGCGTCATGCGATTGTCATTCTGCGCACCTTGAGAGTGTTTTTTTAATTTTTTTTTTGGTTGTTTGGGGGCTCCGTCTTTCAGGACGTGTACGGTCACGATAGTACTACGTGGATAAAACGAGGAATCTGATTTGGAATTGGGAAGTGGAACTTTTGGAAGTAAAATAACACGCAGTTCTTTTTGTCCTAGAGGAAATGGTAAGAAAACGTTTGTAATCTCAGATTGCACTGACCACTGCAATACCACTGTAACAATAAGTGAGACAATCTAGTTTATTGTTTGTATCGAGTACAAATGAACAAAGCTGACCGTTTTTTTGGTGGGTGGGAGGCGGTAGGTTAACGGGGTTAAAAGAATAAGGGAATCATACAAATAAGATTGCTCCCGAGAGCAACTGCCGTGATTTCTTTACTTAACCTGTGATATCAAATCGGTTTGTATCTTTTTCCCCCCAGAATGGAATGAATTAATTACTACTGTAAGTTTGGGCATCATCCGAAGCACGATAATATGCATGGAAACCAGTGTAATTATCTGCATTTTACATTGCAGAAACTAATGGATGCACTGTATTAGAATCAATGTTTAGCCCTTGTAGTCGTTAACAACCAAGTTAGCCTTTTAAAATGTTAAGTTCTGGATCATTTTAAACGACTGTGTAATATATTTTATTTTCTGTCCTTAAACGCACTGAGATTGCACTCCTGCTCCCTGGAGATCCACTTGATTCTGTTTATGTACTTAATTTTGAGTGGGAGACGGTAGCGTGCAGAACCTTGGCCATTATCCACCGTTATAATTTGTATTTCTGAATTTTAATTTCCGTGGTAAAAAGCACGCAGTTTGACAGCGACAGTTTGAGATACTGATCTGTATATTCCCTCGCCGCCGGACGTAGCTGCCTTTGCTTGGTTATCGATATCACAGCAGGTTTAGATTAAACAGGTGGGCAAACCAGTTTATTGGCTTCTTAACGGAGGTGCTGCCCGGGTCGTCAGGCAAAGATGCCAGATAATGTTGATATTTTTACTACGATCGCGGATTTATTTTGCAGTAAAGATTTCACCACTTCAGTGTGTCAGTGAAGTATTTTATTATTAAAAAAGTGTCTGTGTAGGCCTATAGCAAGAGGTGCCGCGTAATTCTTTGCGGGTCATTTTATTTATATATTTGTCATTAAAAGAAGTTACGAACTTACGAATACAACCACGCAAAGTTTACTATAATAACTTGATGTACCGTTATCATGATCAAAATGATAAACGCAAACAATTAAAGCATAACATATTCCCTGACCCCTCCCAAACTTGAATGGTAAAATATACAATGCAAATAATATATTATACAGAATATAAAATACTGTGTTAATGACAAACGAATCAGTTATGAAAACTAAGCAACACAAAATATTCTCCTAGTTCTTAAACAACCTATAAAAAGTAAGCGCGCTTTAAAATGACAGCGGCAAACAACCTGAAACTGTTAAGCTTGTTAGTCGGTGCTGCAGAGCTGGTGCGATATGTGGTGTCTAAGATTTGGTTCGCCTGCATTTTTTTCTCGTTCCTTTCGGTTTATTCTTTATTCTGGAAAAAAAAGCCGGTTTATGTTAGGCATATACATTTTGGAAATTATGGAAATTACCTTTACCTGCCTTTACACTTATCTGCCACTAGATGGAAGGGTTTTCCCATTAACGCTTTTGGTAAAAAGACATTGCTAGATGTAAAACACTGGATGGATACGTAAGTTAAACCAGAACAATTATAACCTACCAACAGAAATAAATTAGGACATTTCTTATGCCTTATATAGCTTATAGTCATTAATTTATACCTTTCAAATATGTTGTAGAATATGTATTATTTAATATATATTATAAAAATATTAATACAATCTACATCACACTCGTAACTTAATCTAGACATGATTCAATAACATTACTAAGCACAGGGTTGGGGGGGCTCCATGATAACTTTAGCCAAGCAATACATTTTCCCAGCACACATACTTATCACCCCACCAGGAAAGTGCCCAGTATGCAGGTAATCTGTTAATTTTAGTGACAAAAACATATATGAATAAATAATAAAAAGTATTATAATGCCAAGTGGCAGCATGACCTACTTATCCCAGCATTCCTGTATCTTCTGTCCTTGTTTTGACTCTGGATTGAGGCAGACTTTTGCATTTCCCTGGGTGACCCTGAGAAAAGACAAGTTGCATGGTAACGTTTGGAAGTACCAGCTCTGTTGCATGAAGGTCACTGGCCATTGGCCAGTCACATGGATAAAGCAGGATTCATCAGCGAGTGCTATCAGGGTGACGTAACTGGGGGTTTGATCCGCTTTCCCAGCTGCTGTGATCCTCGGGGACCTGTAAGGATTTCCCACAAAACAAAAAACAAAGCCCTCCTAGACACACAGTGTTTCAAAGCTTGGAGCTTCATACTGGGTGTCCAGCATCAGATGTCACTCGTTTGATTTTTTTTCCCCCCGGAGATTTAATACACTTTGACACTTGTGTCTGCTTTTATATGTTATGAGCAGTGGGAACATTTGGAAGCAAAGCGGGAATGAATGGTATGTATTATGATTTTCTGGAAGACAGATAATAGCATGAATTGGCAAAATGTTGTTTCAGACGGTAATGCTTAGATAAGAGTTCCCACAAAAATTTCCCCACCTTTGGAGTGCAGTGAGCGTGTCCCAACATGACTGGAGACATTTCAGAATGACAGTGAACCTGATTTCAGTTACTAATCGGTTACATCTTTCCTCATTTTTTTAGCCAACATGATTAACTTTCGCTTTAACCCCTGCTGGAAAAAAAAACCAGCACAGACCAGCATAATGCATACTGGCTCTACTGTCATATGTTGTGTTTTGGTGCTGGTGGTGCTGCTTTATGTGCAGGCAGACCAGCACAGCTCTGCTAGTCCACCAGCTACACCAGCACCTAACCAGCATATACCAGCATGCAAATCATGCTGGTATATGCTATTCTTTCCAGCAGTGACAGCAGTTTTGGATGACCCGTTGTGGCAGGTGAAAGGCAGTTGCTTCCAGTGTTCCGGTGTACTAATGTGGGAAAACTGACTAGCTTACTTAAACTTAGATGATATCTGACTTCCCAGTATTTCTAAACAGGCACGAAGTCAAAGTTCACTATCTCTAGGCTGTGCTAATGCATTTTAGTGCCAAGTGTGGTTTTACACACTGGAAGGAGTGTGAGTTTAATGTCCAGCGTCGGTGCATATGCACCCAGCACAGCATCCCTCGGGGCGGCGAGCAGTGGGGTCTGAACCAGACTCCCACGAAGGCTGTCCTACTTACACAATCTCCACCCTGCTGCAGAAGGAGCTCTTTGGTATCACCTGGAAGTCTGTGATGCTTTTCCACGGCACAGTTTCCCTCGTCTGCGGGCACTCGCACAACCATTTCGGCACAGGTACCGATTCTCCTGGAGCTACAGAAACAGGGCCACACACACCTATTAAGTCTGCGCCCAGGGGCACTTACTGTAGCACGCGGTCCTGTCCCGGTTCTGTCTGACCTGCATGGAGTGCCACGGCGAACAGGAGGAGAATCTGTCCCAGGGCGGCCGGCATGTTCTGGCAGAGCAGCTCGACGTCTTGTGATCCTTCCCACCAGGGTCTGCCACTTCTAGTCCAGCTGGCTTTCCATGTTTGCTTCCTGCATGCCCATATCTAGTCTTCTCTGTGTCACGTGATTTACCACACGACTTCAATTTTTTTTGTATTAATTTTGTTTACTCTTGGCAGTGATTTAGATGTGGTTTAATGAAAGGAGGTTATTCATTAAAAGAAAGGGCGCATTTACAGCCCTTTACTCCTGGTTTTGGAGGTAGACATTGCAGTGTGCAGTTAAATATAACTCTGCTTTATTATCTGTAGACCAGTGTTTTTAGGCAGGATTATGGGTAATTTGACCCTTAGTCTTAGACCCTCATTGTTTCCTTGTAAAAAGCTTAATTTCATATAATGTAAATGTACGCTGCCCACACTCTGACTGTGCCGAACGGGGTCCTTGCTGCATTCGTCTTGTTCTGTTCACAGGGTCTTGAGAAACCTTTTTGATGCTTAATGGTAATGGATAAAAGTGCTTTATCTTTGTCTAATATTACTGATTACCAGCTGCCTCCTGAGCAACACAAATCGGTATTGAAACCGGCATCGGTGACTTTACTCATTAAGATCTTGTTTCATGTTTTAAGGAACGCAATGAAATTCTTATGCCATGGGGGGCGTGAGGGGGCATCACGGAATAGGAGAAATAGCGGGTTTCTTCCGACTTGGAAGTTTAATGGCTCCTCTCCCCCGTCTTCTGGTATTCTTTCTTTCGGTCTTCCCTTTTTCCATTTTTCATGTAGAACTCCAAAATGCATTGCCGCACACCCTTGTCAAGCACCTTGGGCTAAAACCGTTGTTAGGCAAATTACACGATGGTGCAAGACAAGACAGTGCAGTATTGAATTGCGTAAAACAATTATATGTGTAATGAAAATGCAATTGCGTAGTGAAAAAACTGAAAACGATATGAAATGGCAAATGAACTACAGCATGTGAATGTGCGTGGCAACCCCGTCTCGTGGTACAGGGAGTGAGACATCAGCGACGTAATCTCACCTTGAGTGTGGTTCTGAGTGGAGAATGAGCTGGTGAAATTTCCCCATTCTTCGCTATGGCTGATCATCCAACGCAATCAGCCCTATGATTTCTTTTAGTGGTTCTGTCTTTAGCGCTGGTGCTGCTGACTTTGAATATTGACTGAAGTCTAAATCTCGGCTGGCGATATCGACGTCACAATGATGCTGATGTCATGATTTTTAATGTAACGTCTGTATCAGCTGATGTTGATTGTATGCATTGTGCATCTCCACAGTTTGCTGAGGTTGTTGATGGTCACAAAGAAATCAGTGCATTGCCAAGGTTTCAATCAGTTTAATGAATACGCTTTGTAATAAGTTAACATTCATACAGTAAGAGCACAGACATGGTTTGATTACACTACATGCAGAAGCTTCCCTGCTTCTGCTTCAAATGATTTGCTGCGGTAACAACAAACCACACAGCAGTACTTTATTTTAAGGTGCACCAGCATACATGTCAGCTGGCTGCTTATTACTGAGGAAAAGGCAGATCCCGGTCTGGATGCTGCTAGGATGGAAGGAGAATCTCCTTATTATGTATATTTTCTTTGGTCCTGAAAGTAGACACAGGTACTGTGACAGTGACATAGGCCCCACAGAACCGGCCACATTTACGGCCTCAGTGGACAGTAGTCTGCTTAGTCACGTGAACCTCGAGCATCACGATTGCAAGGCCATTTGCTTTGTTCCTCTGCTCCTCTTGGATGTCTGCCTCTATTTCTGTGTCCGCTTCCGTTTCTGTTTCCGTCCCCGTCTCCCTCTCTGCGGCTGCAGGCATTGCTTCTTTTCCTTGTTTCTTTTAGCCATGCGTGAGAGAAGGGGAGACATGGGAGATCAGTGCTGTGGATACAGTTAGCTTGGTGTTGGCCGTGACAGCAGCCAGACCCTAAGTGGCACATGCAAGGTATATAGTCAGACTCCAAAGCTGCATGAGTAGGGAACGAATATTTAATTCCACTGTCAATTAGTGTTAAGCGGTCTGATGGCCTGGGGGTAGAAGCCCCTTCTGAGCCTCTCAGTTCTCACTGGGAGACTGCAGAAGCACCTTCCTGCCCTCAGCCCGGTGAAGAGGTAGCTGTTTGGATGAGTTATGTCCTGCATGGAGGGCAGGTCAGCGCATTGCAAACTGTGAGGCTCGCAGAAGCTCTCGGTTGATAATTACTGTGTCATACTCTCTAACAGTTGGACCTCATTAACAAGTGGGCAGCCGTCTTGGCTGTCTGTGGCATTCTTAAGTGCAATGAAGCAGAGTGTCTGAAACTTGTCAGGTTGAACTGCAGAGTTGGTTGAAATAGTTTCTCAAACTGCTCCTTGGGGACCCGGAGACAGTCCAATAGGGAGCTGGGAAGGAGCAAGAACGTGGGCCATCTGTGGGTCCCCAAGGACCAATTTGAGATACACTGGGTTAAACAAGTGTTTAGTAGGAAGGTTGGTTAGATGTGGGGAGGATGTTTGCTCGTCATACCTTGTCAAGCAGTGTTGCAGTCGTTTTGCCTGCTTCCCGGAAGGATTTAAGCACACCTCCCTGGGCAGACCATCTCCTGCTTGAGTTTTCAGTGTAACTCTGAGAAGGGAGGCAAGATACATCAGTACAACTTGAAAGTAGACTATAACCATCTTGGGCAGCGAGATATTGAGGCTGTGCTCACAGGGTAGTATGTGATACCTACATGATTTCATTGTTTTCACAGTGAGGACCTTTTTCGATGACCTTAATATCACTTAACGGTTCCTTGACGACTTCAGTCACCTTCAGACAAGTACATCTTAATGGAACATAGACTCCTCCAAACACCTGTCCTGTGTTTGTAGGAAAAGAACATTAGCCTCATTGAATGCAAACTGAGATTACCGTATTCCGCATTATCACTTAATGCCGGTATCTCTTCCAACTGGCTTAAACTTTTTCTTATGTAGTTTAAAAGTCATACATATATTTAACATTATTAATAAGTGCGGAACGGCTGCATGGTCATTAAATTAGATTTATTTGTTATTGTACAGAGTCACGTAAGACACGTGGAAATTGATGAAACTGACAGCTGAAAGCGCACACGTTCACATGCGGATCTTTCGGGAAAATGTAATCGTGTTTAGTTACCTGACATGAGCACGGCGCCGACCAGGGACAGGAACAGTACGGGTGCTGTCTTCATGGTGAATCGCTCGGCTCACTGCGACTCGGAGCCGCATTTTAAGCGCTCCGGCTGGAGTTCCCCCGAAATTCCCGTAAACGCCCCCGCTGGAGAATCCATAAAAGAAAAGCACAGGAATCTCATGCCAAAAGAGACTCGTATTGCAAGATGACAGCATTTCAATTTGAGAGAATGTTCAACAGGAAATGACACGCGAACTAAGTAATGCGAAACGGGGTGTAATTACAGCAAAACACTTTCTACATTTTAAGTTAATCATTCGTGAATGGGTATTTCCGGTGGAACCGGTTTGCCTGTCGATTTTACAGGCGTACATTTTGAATGGGTTCAACAGATCGTGACCTATGGCAGGGGGCGCCGTGCGAATATGAGAGGGGCAATGCCAATACGCATCATTAACAGCTGGACTTTTTAGCCTTTCCTGTCCGACAACAGAGTGGTAAAATGTATTAGCCTTTAATCGTAATTGGTGTTTCTAACGTTTCATTAGTTTCGAAGCTTTAGCTCCATTAGTGGATTTAATTTGTGGCTTAGATGACACATTTCAAATCTTTCATCATATGGATTGTTAGTGAAGCAGGGATTTCAATCTGCAGTAGTCCAGATCCTTTAAACCTGATTCTTTTATCCTTTATTGGAGCCCTGCCTTGTGCTGCAGGGCAGCAAGGTGGTTCATGGTGTCACACTTCCAAATTTCTTCTGCCTTTGCTGTGTGTGTGTGTGTGTGTGTGTGTGTGTGTGTGTGTGCGCGCGCGCCTGTAGGTTTCACGCCACAGTCTGAAGATATGCAGTTGGGCTAATTGCCTGTAGGGTGTGATCCGAAATGTATGTGCGTGCACTGCAGTGGACTGACATCCAGGATATTCCCAGGCTTGTGCCCTAAGTTGCCTGATCCTAACCGGGATAAGCATTTACAAGACGGATGGATGGTATCTTCTTTTTTGTGGCCTTAACTAAGTAACTTTCATTTCACTGTTTGTAACTTTGGATTTCAAAACTCCAGTTTCACTTCCTTGAGGTGGTTAGAAAGCTTTTTTGGTAGCTGCATCCATCACCAAACTTTTGTTTTCCTTCAACAGCTTATTTTTTAAGGGGACATTAGCGCTTAGATTTTTCTCTCTCTCTCTCCTAGAGTCGTGCACCACCCCTGTTTCTATGTTTTTAATGTGCTTTCTGCATTCAGTTTCACTGTCTGCTCACTGCCATTCACTGCTTTACCCCCTGACAGTCTTAGACACCTCCACTGGATGTAACTGCTTCATTGGAGCCAGTGACTGAGCTGCACTTCTCCACACACGTGATACGTTGCAGCAAGCGGACAAGATGGAGGATTGCCATGCAAGCTTGGTAAAGATCAGCGAAGACCGGGTCCTTACCAAGTGAGTTTGCCTGGACGTCCCGTGGTGTCTCTGTGTCCTCTGCTCCTCAGTCACCTGACCTGTTCCTGTTCCATTTTTATTTTTTTTTTATTTTTTTAGGACTGAGATGATGTCCCTGCTGAAAACCTATAACTGTTACCATGAAGGGAAGAGTTTTCAGCTGCGGAGTCGAGAGGTACATACAGCTTCCCTGTCAATTGCTTCCTCTTAAGACTATTTGATCTTGAATTTTGGGGCAATTAAAAATGCTCATTTAAAGAATAAAGTTCAGTCTATTTGTTGACAGTTGTGCGGAAGGTACGTCAGTTTGGCAAAAAGGATATGCATGAATCTAACCCCTTTGCCTCTTTGCGATTCTTTAATATCTAGCTCAGGCGAGATATTAAAGAATTCTAGGCTTCATATCTCAAGTTCAGTTCTAATCTTGTCCTCCTACTGAATGGCAGTCAGTGATGAGACTTTAAGGGCACGATTCAGTGAAAACTCCCACTGGATTTTCCCTTGTTGATTCAAAAAGTTCTTCCTGGCATCTTGCCAAAGGAAGCATAACTGGCTGTGAGCAGTCATGAGGCTGGCAATCAATAGATTGTGAAAGGATCAGGAACTCGGCCAGGAGGGCAGGTTTGGGTGGGAGAGACGAAACAGGCATTCCTGTGTGTGGCTGCCATTCCTGGGGTGTCAGGCGTCCTTCCCAATAGGCGTGATGTGTTGCACGTGCCCAGATGTGACAGGAAATAAGAGATGCTTCAAGGAAAGGCTGGTCTGGGATTAAAAATCACTCCACAACCTCTTCGGGGAAATGTCCAGGATAAACACTTCTGGTGTTTAAACAGTGTTTACAGACAAAGCAAGCAGCACTGTGTAACTGTGAAATGGGTGAAATCGCCTATTGTAACATTTACTGAGTCATGGCTGGCTTTTAATTTAAGAATTCCTAAGTGTTTTGTCACTGACAGGTATATTTCAATAATTTTCACAAGACGTGGGGGTGTTGGTGTGTGCTACCTGGACTGCATCCAGCTCAAGTGACCTTGGGGGTGGGGTGGGGGGGTGAAACTCAATCATCAGCTTATATCTGCAGGCCAATCATTCTGTCGCAGTCCAACATGAAATTCCCATGTCAATTAAATGTCAAGTACACTTTTGACTTCATGTCATATACACAGCATATCAAACCTAAATGTATTAGTTTGGTGGGTTTTTTTCTGAAACTGCTTAGCTGCCACCTTCTACCTTGCCGTTAATGTTTTCTGCTTCTTTATAAGTCGTCTTTATTGGAATCTGATGCGGTAGCTACATAGCGCATTAGCCGGTGCGTGTAGCTACTCTCCAAAACCTCTAGGTGGAAGCACTGGAGCCTCTTTGTTGACCTCTTTGATTGTGAACCACTCTTGGATCATTTCGACTCATCCTCCTCGTTTTCGGGGGAAGAGCATGCCGTTAATCCGGCTTCCAAAGCAGCCGTGTCTGCTTAGTACAGACAAGCCAAAATTAAGTAGTACATGGCGAGAGTGAACACATTTCATGTTTTAGATTTTTACAAGATTGCTCAGTGATCAGATATTAGATATGTTGTAATCAGACTCCCTTTATTTAGGCAGATATGTACACGCATACGATTGTTTGGCACTGATCCAAAACCACATGGTACATTGTCTGACTACAAGACACTCAGTTCTGGTTAAATCAGTTAAGATATCTGGTCAGACTGGTTCTAGACTAATGCCTTTGATATGGTATATAAATTCAGGTGGCATTATGTTGGGGGGGGGCTTCCTGTGTGTTCCAGGCCCTGTGCCATGTTGATTTAAGGAGGTTGTCTAAGTAGGACATCTGTGAAAGAAGCTGTTAAGATCTCTGTTGGTTCTGGGCTGATGCACCTGTAGCACTGAGAGCTGTTCGAAAAGTTATTTTCAACTGTTCTTCTAGCAGTGTGCAGAAATTCCATGTGCATGTGTGTCTCTATAATAGCTGTGACATTTGAAACGTAAATTAATCAACCACCCTAGTAGCTGCACCTTAGAGAAACTGGACTTGTTTGTGGGTCTGTCATTTCTACTTCGTTGTAAGGAACAGGGTGGCAGTTGATGGTGGTAATCTGATTCTTTTTTTTTCTGTATGTTTTAGCCAATAGGGATTGTCTCAAATATCAGGTGACTGAGCTGACCAGGAACCTCAGCTGGTGGGGATCTGAATCGGAACTGAAGGGAACTGAAATCCCCAAGTCAGCAAACAGGCACCACCAGATCCATTCCTCGTCTTTGTTGGCTGAGCTGCTGGCTTTGCCTGGCCATCAGTTAGCATAATAACTGGATTCTTTCCCAAAAGGGCTTTTCCCCCAGGGTTTTATGTCCAGATGGACCTGGCCTGACAGTTTCAGGTGGCTCTCTTATATGCACCTGGATCAGATTAGTGATGGGAAACCAGCAGCTTTGGGTCTTGAAGATGTAGGGGGAGGAGAAAATCCACGCAGAGGAACTTGGAAAGGGGTTTGGCGATGCGAGAGTTAAATCAGGGGAAGTGCGTTTCCGTCCAATAACACAACAGTGCTGTGAGTTAATTTGCTTTGTCTGTAAACACTGTTTAAACACCAGAAGTGTTTAGCAGATGGTTTAAACCTTGTACATTTTACAAAGTGCCTCAGATGAGCAGTTGCAGTATTTCACATTTTATTACAAAAATCATTAATATTCTTCTGGCTGTAAACATTAGCCCTGCACAGCAAGACCCTCTGAAATAACTCAGTAATAACTTATTTCTGCAGTTGCAGTCCTTCAGAACAGATGTCCGCCTCTGCGTCTGCGCAGACTGTCCGGGCAGCCCCATGTCCTTCAGAGCAGGCATAAAGCGGCAGGACCGTTGTCATCTCGCTGCGTCTGCGCAAACAGCCAGTCCAGTGGGTCCCTGGTGCAGTCCCTCTGCTGGGACGTCCTGAGTGCCGCCTCGCAGGACGTGCCACGGGGCCGGTATGCTCTGGGGGCGGGCCGGGCCGGGGCCTTGATGAAGAGACGGGGTCTCTGTGACCGTGGGACCCTTAGCGGCCCGAAACTGGGTCTTGCCAGCTCTTTGATGGAGTCCACGTAGTCCTCCATGGACTGGGCGGGCTGGCCGTGGCAGGACCCCTGTGTGGGGGCGTCCTCCTGCGTCTCGCTGATTGTGGGTAGGGGCTCCACTGACAGAAGCAGTCTCCTGGGTTTCATTTCGCGGGTGGTGACCCCAGACAGCATCGGCAGCCTGTCTGCAGACAGACAGAGTGCAGGCTGTCAGGATTACGTCATTCCTGTATTTGTTAGTCACATTGGTTTATTTCATTTTTTTAATTACCTCACTGATAATGTTATATCTATTGTTCAGGTCTGACAATCAAAAACAAATTCCAGCAAATTACCTTACCTGTCAGGTAAACGGCTCTGTCTGGTGAATGCGCAGCCGGCTTTGTGCCCCGGTTCTGTCTGGTGAATGCGCAGCCGGCTCTGTGCCTCAGGCCTGTCTGGTGAGCGTGCAGCTGGCTTTGTGCCCCAGTTGAGTCTCTGTGCTCTTTGACGCACTGTCTGAGCTGTTTTGAGGTGCGTCAGGAAAGCTCTGGCTTTTTATAACGCACCAGGGCGCAATCCTGAGCTAGTGCCCCTAAATATAACCCTGAAGCTCTCTCTCTCTCTCTCTCTCTCTCGCTCTCTCTCTTCCATAGGATGTGTGCTTGTGCGCGCGTCCATGCACACATGTTTACTCAGGCGTGCACAGGAAGCCGAGGTGTGGCCGCTGACCAAGGCCGCAATGAGCAGCCGTCCCTGTGTTTATACAAGTGGAACAATGGTGCTCATTGTGTGCACGGTCCAGCGCTATGGGCTGGTGGGAATCGAGATTCTCGGTTATTAGTTGGGTGGAGGTCCAGAGCAGTGCAGTGTCTCTGTGCTATAGGAGTCTCCGCCGTGTGTATGCGTAACGTGGAACATTCGCATGACGGTCGTAGATGGGGTCAGTCTCGCAGTACATAGGACCTCTGGGAAATGGGGCCGGCGTGTCCGACCCGTTGCGAGGCCCCAGGTGCCCAGCTCAGGCGGCGTGGCCCATGGGAACCGGCTCCCTGCCCCAGCGCCATCAGGAACTAACTCGACAGAAACCCAGAGCTGCTTCCGTTCCCAGGCTGGGGTCGCACAGCTATACTGCTTCTCAGGATAAACTTAGATCATGCAGCGTGCCGCTGCAAAGGAGGGGGTTAGATACAAAGGGACAAATTTAGCCACTGCTGGCTGTTCCTGCCAGGGAGTCTTAATGCGCAGAGGGGGCAGCTAAGCCTAAAAGTCAGTGGCCTGTGGACAGGAAAAAAACTAAGGTGATGAATTGGTGTGTCTGCAAACAGCTTTAGCTCTAGAGGGGCCAGGTGCTGCTTGATGTTTAATCGTCTAGCTTTTCTGATGCGAATGTGATGAGTCATAACTTTGGGTCCCCAATGATGAAAACAGAGTGTGGTGGGGGGTCCCCATAATAACATTTCTCAACTGGGGGGGGCTTCCTCTGATAGAATTTGCTGAGCAGGAAAAGATGGGACAAATCAAATTTTTCTTGATAAATACAGGACACAGCACTTTATTTTTCAGTTCGGGATGATCCTGTTATATATGGGCCAGTTGGAAACGGCCCGGTGGGATACTGGTTGGGAAGCCCCTAGTGTACGTGACCTGGCGCAGCGCTCCATGTGAGTCAGAGGGGCCCGGCCCTCCTGTACAGCCAGACATGAGCTCAGGTCTGTGTGGAGTTCAGAGAAGGTTCTGAGCCAAGACAGCATATTCACTTGGGGGGGGTAGCTGCCCTGCAGCACGTAGACCTGAAGTGCAGCAGGATATCCTACCCCCGTCCTTTTGGAATTAATTATAAGCTTTATTATTATTGCTACTATAATTATCTGTGCTGTTTTTTTTTTTCCACGGCCACAGGAAGATGGGGAGCTGATCATCGAAGGCCTGCTCAGTGTCTCCTGGGGCCTGAGGAGGCCAATCCGGCTACAGATGCAGGACGACAACGAGCGCTTCCAGCATTCCAGCGCAGGGATAGGCAGGTGGGTGGTCCTCCGGACAGGCCACGCCTACAGTTGCGTTTCTCATCAGCGGGGGGCTGATGAGCACATGCTGGGAGGAGAGCTGGGGTGGGGTGAAACTTTGTGAAGATGGTGTACAGGCACCCGAATGGTGATATAGTGGAAATATTGTTGTTTTTTGTTGTTGTTCTTGTTGTCGTTAATATCATCGTCACTCTCCAGGAGCTCACTGGGAGACTTTTAGGGGCCACTAAGCTTAGGATCCCTGCCCCTATTGGCTCTGAGGTTGTGAATGTGCTCTCTGCAGGTAAATAGCTGTCCTGTAACTGCAGAAATGCCTGAGAACCCAACCTGCCACATACATGCCCAAGAGAGGTGCCTGCTTTATGGCTCTAGCCTTTCTTGGCATCTTTAAATGGTAGCTGTTGGGCTTTTCAGTCATTCAGGAAGCCAGGTGCCCATTCTTCTGGTCACTTCCTGCTTAGCACAGGAAGTGCCTGATTAGAACCAAGTAGTCATGTGTCAGAACCCCACCCCAGTGTGTGTGTGCTCTGGTCTAACCAGGGATTAACTCTATGCTGGACCAGGAACAGTGGTTATACAGTTGGCCCCTACAGTGATGCCAAAACACATTTTTATTATTTATTCCTTTTTTAATTATTCTAGAATTTCCCACAGCGATCAATAAAGTTAATCTTATTACATAGTAGGAGTTATAGGATGGTATATAGTTATAATCCATATGGCATATTGATAGCAGCACAGGTGGTATTTCTTTTAAGAATATAGGTGTCTTGGCTGAAATTGATATGAAAACACAGCACATTATTTTGTTTGGTTAACAGACAGCAATAGCTGGATCTGCTAAAGCCAGAGGAAGCCCCTTGGTGTGTTGGGAGAGATGTTTGAATGACCTGCAGCCTTCTGTATAGGAGTCTCATTACAGCCTCTTACCGGTTCTGTTTAAGCTGGATCATAATGTGCTTCTGTAACAGTTACAGCATTTTTCAGTGTTGCATGTGTGTTTGAATAACTGGTGCAAATGCAGTTACACTAGTGGCTAAAATTGTGGAAGCAGCTAGCATTTTTGGCATTACATTTTAAAAATCACTACATGAATATTAGCGGTAATGTTTATAAACAATCAAAGAATGTGACATATCATATATTGGACGAAGTAACTGGAGCAACAGTTGAATAAAGTTCTGTCGTCTCTAAAATTGGAAGTGTTTCCACAATTTCGGCCACTAGAGTATTTTCTCTGACAGTCTATTTTTTTTCTCTCTCTGATAGAGAGGATGAGGCAAAAACCAGCTCTCCCCTCCAGCAGACCTCCCTGGAATCAAACAACAACGAAAGTATGTATGGCTCTGGCCACACATGCTGGGTATCAGCAGTTAGGAATGTTAGATTGGGTGCGTGGCTGGATTTTGGTATTCGTTTATCTGGAAGCTGGAGATGTAGAAGTGTAATGTAGCAGATTAGCCTCTGTCTTCATCTTGGTTCTCCATGAGCATTTCCCAGGAACAGGTAATTTCTCAAAGGCTCACTGGTACTGCTGTCAACATGGCCTGATCCTCTGCTCTTAACACATGGACAGCTGGAGCACCTCACGTGCTTATTCTGACACCTTGATCCCTGCCTCTGTTACCTGGCAACAACAAGCCACACGATTAAGATGGTGATGGCAGCAGATTGTGGAGATTACGGAATCACAGTAATTCTTTAATGTTATAGCGCAGCGTTTTCCAATCCAGTCCTTAGGGACCTGCAAACAGTCCACATTTTGCTCCAAGAGCTAGGAGGGAGCAAAAAATGTGGGCTAGCTGGGAGGGAGCAAAAACGTGGACTGGCTGTGGGTCCCTGAGGACCAGATTGGGAAATGCTGTCATAGTGTAAAGGGTTTTGGAGACCTAATGGTTTGAAAACATGCTTACAGTACCCACTAAACCCAGCTTCCATTTACATTGCCCATTATAACTAAACATTGACTTTGAATACCTGGTATACCAAAGCAACATGCACCAGGCCCGCTAACTTGTCGAGCTCTTTCTAGTGTAATCATAAAGCCTGTGTTCTGTGTGTGTGCTACAGGCTCTGATGCCTCTGTCAGTGAGGATGAGACCCCCCAGCTGATGAGGACAAGGAGTGATGCCAGCTTCATGGGCATCCAGCGGAGGTCCAGGCGCCACAGCCAGGGCGAGATGCAGAGAATGAAGAAACATCGCTTCTCCATTAATGGGCATTTCTACAACCACAAGGTAAGAAGAATGAGGATATCCTGAGGTAGAGGATTAGCAGCCTAGAATCGGGACACCCTTGAGGGGACGAGTCAGCACCTTAGAATTGGGATTCCCTTGAGGGGACGAGTCAGCACCTTAGAATTGGGATTCCCTTGAGGGGATGAGTCAGTAGCCTAGAATTGGGACGTTGTTTGAATTGGGCCTCTTCCTTAAAGCGCCACTGTGGCCCCTCACCTGCTTTTCTTAAAAACAGCTTTCATGGGCTGAGGGGTCCTTATGGGCGCGCAGGGCACACAGCACATGTTAGAAGACTTGGACAGGAAGTGACCCCTCTGATTGGACGAGGAGCAGATGGTGAATTGGACAATGCTCCCCAGCTTGAGCTCAGTCGTCACCTTCCTGTCCTCTGTCCTGACACCTCACCTAACTGGGACGTCATGTAAGCAGATGGCCCCTCAGGATGACGGCCCTTAGAGTGCTTAAAGCGAGCGTGACCCAGGTGAAAGAGCAAAGCTCAGGGTAAGGTGGTGTAAATACTGCACTGTAGCCATTTGGCGGGGATAGGGCGGCTGATCTGTAGGCAGATTTCTCTGTTACACTCTTAGTGTGCTTAGCCACCTTGTATTGTAATGGGGCTTCTACTGATTCTTTGTTTATGCTGTGTTTGTTTCCTTTTATCAATGTTACTGCACCATGTGACATGGCCCCCGTACCTGCGCCTCTCAGACATCCATCTTCACTCCAACTTATGGGTCGGTGACCAACGTCCGAGTCAAGAGCACCATGACCACTGTGCAAGTGCTCCGCCTGCTTCTCAACAAGTTCCGTGTAAGTGAGTCCTCTGTGTGGGCTGTGGATATGTCCTCCTTACTTTTCAATGCCTGTGAAATCCTTTCAAGATTGTTTACCTTTGACATTTATGCCGGCAGGTTGAAAATAATTTGGAAGAGTTTGTGTTGTACATGGTACATGAATCTGGGGGTAGGTGTTTCACCACTTTCTGTTTTCGATGCCAATGCTCAGTGTTCACCTTGTTCTGGAAAGCGAAACCTTAGTTTCTGGCTTGCTGTGTAGTGATCCAGGGGAATTTCGTCATTGATCCTTAAGCATGTCTAATCTCTGATTTGAGTGTGTGCATGTGCTGCCTGTATGATCTTGCATATGGTTGCGTGAAGGCCAATTTCCCTGGACATTTCAGAGAAAACGAAACTCAAAGACACTGATTACCCCCTGATCTCCCGCCTGCTGCATGGCCCATGTGAGAAAATAGCCAAGATGTTCTTAATGGAAGCTGACCTGGGAGAAGAGGTCACTTATGATGTAGGATCAGTTTCTACTTCT